GAATTTTTTTTCCCACCAAACCCAACCTCTGTCGGCACTCAGGGGAGGGGCAAACCAATTAAAAGCTATTCAAAACAGGCGATAGTGCCCCTCCCCGGGAACCATCAAACTGTCATTAGGGATATCCATTTTATTGTGGTGGATTATCACACATCTAGCCAGTCAGAAAGGCATTCATTGGGCCACACGCCTCCTGCTGACTGTGCCTATTCATGAGTCTGGTTCACACCTCCTTGCAGAACGACTGAAATGTGTTGAAGTGATTAGGTTTATAGCCCATTGAAGCTTTCGACTGCCTGCAACGTTGGGTTTGGTGGGAAAAAATTCAGTGCAAAAGAGAAACCCCAATAAAAAAGCCTAAAACACGCTAAAAATACCCCAAAACCCAAACCTCTGCTTGGAGAGTAGTATCAGTCATTACTTCCATTAGAAACAAAATCATCTATAATACCTACCTGTGAGACTACCCTGGGGACTGCTCCCCTGAGGAGATTAAAACATCGACCTAGATGAGACATCCTGGCACAGTTCAGTCAGCTGTCAGTCTGGAATCGCCCTCTGCACCTGCACAGAGGAATAGCTACAAACTAGAGTTCCACGATCTCATACCTTCGCCAAATGATGTTAGCTTTTATGATTAAGAAATTATATATTAATCCCCTAATTATGCAAATAGGATCCTCAATTGCATGAATTATATCTGTTGATCATATTCTCCACCAAAAGACAGTCTTATCTTAACAAAGAATGCCATGATGAAATTTTCTCATAAATTATGCAAATGAGGTCCTTATTTGAATAAGTTATGTTTAATTATGTTCACCTTAACTTAACTTTCAAACACCCCAAGTATAAAATTCCAGGCAGTTACCACTATGCAATTATAATATTTTCTCATTAATTATGCAAATTAAGTCTTCATTTGCATAATCGATATCTGCCTGTATCATTCTTAATAACATATGTCACAAGCTTGAACTTCCTATTATGGAATGCAGCTGATAAATAGAATTTCCTAATTTATTATGCAAATTACATCCATATTTGCATAATTGTAATATCATTATGCCAAGCATCACTCAAGCTACCTACATACCAAAAATCACGATGATCCATCAATCGGTTCTTGAGTTATCACCCTTTAAACATTTGTCCATTAAACCCCCCTGCAGTTCTAGAGCAAGCAACTAGGGGGCTCAAACTCATGTCACTTCATCCCCAGCACAAGAGCTATCTACCATCTAAATTTCGTCACCCTAGCATGTCTAGATCACGAGATATCAAAACCGGAAGTTCAGCTGCAGTACCATAACAAGCCGCCAGGTGGCCCAAAATCTAATCATTTTGAGGTCTCATCAAGACCTACCCACCTACCAAGTATCAAGACAATCCATCAAGACCTTCTCAAGTTATCGTGTTGACAGACACACACACACACACACACACACATACACGAACGCCCCTGAAAACATAACCTTCTTGGCGAAGGTAATAAACCATTAAAACGTAGTACAGTGCAGTGAATGTGTCAGTTGAAAAAGCTAAAATTCAGTGGCTGAAGCTGCTAATACTGCAAATCTTAAAATGTTTGCAGTGGTCTTATTTTTGTGGTGACTACTTTCTGTAAACATGTACATGTACATGTATCTCCAATGTACATGTATTACAATCTACTACTGTACTACAGAATTGTTTCAACTTAAAATACATCGAAATGCTACTTCCCCCTTCTATCACGACATTTAGTGTCACGAAAATACATGAACTTGCAGTAAAAAAAACAACACCGTCCAGAATTGTCTATGATCACATTAATGTATGAATTACTCGTTTGTTTTGTTATTTGTTATTAATTTGCATAATTTTGTCAGTGGTGAGACTAAAATTAGCGATTGGCTAGAGTTTTCCACTCCGGTACTTTGTACTCTCTCTCTGTTTCTTTTTTTTTAATAAAAAAAATCTACATCTAAAATCTACTGTATTGTGGTAGTACCTATAGTGAACTTTAAAATTGCAGTTGATCTATGATTTTTCGTTTTCATCAATATAAACCGATGGAAGTTGCTAGGCCACATTTGAAAAGCCTCCGGCATGTTAAACCTGAAAAGCTCTCTGTTGTCGCCACATTGTTTGATCAGCTTTACTTCCAAACACAATGCTTACAAAAACAGACAAAATATTCCGCTTGACATGTTCCCACACATACTTTTCAAAAACTGAAAAACATCAACACATATGTAAAAGAGATCTTTATTTTGTCAACATCGCAAGCGTAAGGGATTTTAACTGGTATGCCAGGTGTTGTTTTGAGCACATAACTGGACGAAATTAGATGAACGTCCAAAGTATATAAGTGGATGAAAGCAATGTAACAAAAGAAAGAAATGGATGAAATTAGAGTAAGGTCTCACACTAATAATCCCATACATAATGACAAGTATTCCTTGAAATTTCACCGTTTAAACAAATTGTGATGAACAATTATAACATCTTCCGACATTTACAACCTATACTGGCAGATAAAACAAATATTTTGCCATTTTATGGCCGGAAAGAACAAACACATGGCAATTATCTAGGACAATGACGAATTGCCCCAGGACAGGTGCTATCAACTTTCCGCCAATCAAAAGGCGCGATTTAGGTCACGTGACACCCTGGCAACCATTGGAAACATCATGGCGATCGGGTATCGAAGGGTAGTGCGGTGGTGAGCGTTCGGACACGACCACCGATTTTTGCCGATTTGGCGTAGAATTCCTCCAAATTTTACCATTTTAGGTATATTCTAGGACAGTTGAGTAGTTTAGACACCGCCTGGTGCAAGGAAGTCGCGACTTGTGGAGCAGTTTCGCGATTTTTGGGGGTGAATTCCGACACGGGACGTCCGGTCTTCGAAGCCTGTTGCACATATCCAAAATGGACGCTACGAGACGACACTGAACGATTTTTTTCTTGATTTTTCCTCACGATTTCTGACGAAATGTCGAACCTGAACCTGTCCCTACTGAGCCGCGGGATCGGCCAAGTCTCCAGCAACGGCCAGGAAAAAGTAGATGTCTTTCTAGAACCAGAGGTGAGTAGGAAAAATCCGTGAATTCTGACCTTTTCACAGCCTGCAAGTTTTTGCTATATTTAGCTAGTTTTTTAACATTTACAAAGAAGTTAACGTTTTGTAAGATTGGCCAGGAGAAAGAAAAACTATAAAAAAATGTAAAATTGGACGTAGAAATCAAAACATCGCCTGTAACACCGATTTTTTTTTCTAGCCACTCCAGAACAAAAATCACAGGTACAGGTTGGGCGGAAGTTACATATTGACACAATAATACAGCGAATATTAAACATGGCGTTATGTTTGTTTTGTCGACAAGTTCGTGCTAGTGTGGGAATCATATCACATGTGGTTTGTATGATCAACAATGTATAATCTTTAACTTTATCCTGATTTATTGTTTTATCACGTTGTTGTTATTGTCCCAAACAACAGCAAACCAGTTTTGTAAGGTATAGATGGTGTTATATGATTAGCATTAACATTTAAAGTTTTAAAACCAAAACATGAGATCCTTACCATACTTTTACCAGTCCTGTATCTGTAGCTTTTAGTTTTACACACCAGCTTAAACATTTTTTACACAGCTTAAAGTTAAACTTATCAAAATCAGTACAGTTACTATAAATTGTAGGTGATTATAATAATTTAAATCTTCTTGCAGTCATCAGAATAAAAAAGGAAGCAGTGAAGAAATGAAAGTCCGAAACAGTCATCAAAATATTGCAAGAAAATAGTAATTGTTACAGTAGCAATTGGAAAACAGTACCAAAATCGGAATAAAACCCAGCTCAGTTTAAAAACATTGAAGCTATAAGAAAAAAAAAGGTTGGGGCACTCAGCTACCAAAATACACCAAATGCACACAACTTTTACTAGTTGCAAGCTTTAATTGATTAATGTTATATTCCAAAGCTGTTGCCAAATTTCCTACCACCATTTTATGAACCGTAACTGTTTGCTTTTTTTCCAACGCCTTGAAAAAACTGCCAAGACTAATGGAACTGGAGTGGCTATAAATATAAAAAGCGTGCGTCGCGGAGAGGTGTACTCAAGGGTGCGGGGCTCAAAGCCCGGGGAGCTGGTCAAACACATTATCCGCAGCCCGTGAAATGAAAAAGATTTCGTGCACAAGGCACACCTGTTCAAGTTGCAGCGACCCCATTATACGCGGTCGGCCAAGCAGAGCGTGATTGGCAAATTCTACCCCGCAACTTTCACGGAACAATTCGATCAAGCAGTTTTTGTTTACAGCAATGTGGACCTCATTTATGTCTTGTCTCAACCCCATTTTACTAACGTTCAAGGATTTCAACGACTTATAGGTGTGTATGGAAAAGAAAGACTACTCAGTTTTTAGATGTTTTGAAAGAAAACGCTCATTGTATGTTACTTCAATGCAGGTATAAGTGGTTTCTTACAGACAAAACAAGTCCTGGAGTCAGTCCATTCGCGAGCAAAATACCATACAATCAACCCCGTTTTACCAGTTAAACTATTACTTTTCACCCATTGTCTTTTTCATCCTTCCATTAGTTTGGTCTTGCAAATCTAATTTTTCCATTCTTCCATTTTCGTGAGGAAAGGTATTAGTTGATTAACCTATATGCCTTGGTAGAAAAAAGAAGGGCATGTTGGTTTTATTTGCTGACGTTGCTAACGCAATTAACATGTCCGTTGCCATGCTACAAGGCAAACAAAGTGTATCTCTTTTAGCACTAAAAATAGGAGGATCACTGCTTTAATCTCGTTATTTCTGGACGCCGTAATAGGCTTAGCAAAAAGCACCAAACAAGTTTTGTGTTTTCACCCAAAGTGTGAAAGAAAAGGACGAAAACATAAGCGTCTTTTCTCGCTTTTATTTACACGCTCCGCTGCCACCTGTTTTGTTAGTTTGCACGCAGCGTGTCGCGGTAGGTGGTATCGAATATCACGGACTGCTATTGTTTATTGTTTACACACTGCCAACATGAATAAACTGTATGGCTACGGACGGAAAGGAAGGTGCCAATTTCTATAGTACGGCTTTGGCAGGCCTATTCATAGCTTTCCGTGGATTTAAGCGTCTAGGGTGTCTTTCCAATTTGGAATAAAATCTCGGTTAACCAGTAACTATGATTGGTAGTCCGTACACAATGTATGGTATTAGTGTCTACAGCTTTTCGGTGCTATATTACCTCAAATAATGGTTGAGTCACTGTGCGTATGTGATCCCTTCAATATGTTACTACATGCATAGCGTGCCCAGATTTGTTGCACAGAATTTTACAATGCACGAAATGGTGTTACAGTTAAGCTTTAAATCTTAGTAGGCACCAGTTGAGAGCTTTCTCTTACAAAAGAAATTTTCGATATGGCTTAGTAACCAAGGTTTTAAAAAGTAAAATACTGAAATTTAAGACAATAGTTACATGCTTAGTGGTAATGTTAATTCATAAATGAAAATGTTCAATGTTATCTTCATTTTTCCTAACAAACTTGCTTTGCAGAATGGGTGGCAGTCGCAAACTTTCCACTTTTTTGTTTTGTTTTAATAATTTATAATCTTATTTTTTGCTCTGCTGCAAAAGTGTATATAAAAGTTGGCGTTACTTTTTGTCACTACCAGGACTACTATAATATGTTCCCACAATTCAAAGTACGCCACAAGCATCGCAAGAGGAAATGGAAAGCTTCGCACAAGACTAGGCACTCCTACCCGCTTGGACCCCATGACATGGTTTTTACCCCCCCTTGCTTCATCACTAGGCATGGCATGAGACTAGAAAAACACCATAGTTCTAACTACTGTATGTTCTAACTAAGTCTTTCTTAACCCCACAACTACATCCTCTGTTAGAGTCCATGCAAGCCTCTATTGTGTAGAAGGACTGCATGCATGCTTTTCACACTGTTCTACACAGCATTCTATAGGCATGCCATAAGTTTATAAAATTAGTCTAATTATAAAGGTATTTTCCCTGTCCTTGTGCACAGTTGTTTAGTGGTGATGGTGGTTGGTGGCAGCACGTAAAGTGGTGGTGGTCTACTCTCTCTCTCTTAGAATGTACATGTACATTGGAAAGGGCTATTCCATTTAAATAAAAGTAACAGGAAATGATCACAAAGCAATTTTATAATGGTAGTATAAAAAAAGAGGGGGTGGGATGGAAACAGGCACCTTTTAAAAGTACTGTACTCACGAATGGAATAGCCCTTTGTATTCAATCCCAAAAAGTTTATTTTCTATCCCGAATGTTTTACAATTATAATTATGAAATTCATAATTATAATTGTAAAACACTTCGAATTTCTTTCTCCTGTACAGGACTATCTGAACATTCCCTCCGAAGAATCCCGAAGTCAGTTTTTCCTACCGCCGATTGAAAGCCGTCAGCTTTCTCGTGGAACACATCACACGAAGTCAATCCGCGGAGCAACGACAGCGCACACCGAGCGTCTTTCCAGCCCTCTTACCGTACCACGGACATTTAGCACCAGAAAAGGACCACTGTTACTGTACTCTGAAGACTTAGCGCACAAAACACACGAAGGAAAGGTGGAGAAGAGAAAAAGAAGGGCTCGGCAATTGAGAAGACTTTCTGAGATAGAGGATTCCTTCCAGTTGAAAAATATCAGCGATCTGAGCAAAGCAATTCTACAGTATGGGAAGGCGGTAAGTCACTAACACAGTCATGTATAGAATGTAAAATGTCAATATACATGTATTTTGTAAAAAGACAACCCATTTATAAACAATTTATATATTAGCTACAATCATTGTGTGTCATCAAAAGGGAAATATTAAAGTTTGCTTTTCTATTTATGAATTAGTTTTAAGTATAAATCAACTAGCATTAAAACTTTTTTTACAACATTAAATCTGGCAGCTATCAGAAATAAACTTTGAAAAAAATCTGTCATTAAATTGATAATGGATATTTGTGAATATTCTACTTGTTTGTTGTTTTAGGATTTGTTATTGAGAAATAGTTGTGTACAATTATGTATAACATGTTTTTTTTCTTTTCAGACTAATTCCAATGAAGAGTTGTATCTCAAATTCCTGCACCATCGGCAGAAAGACCTGTGGGCGCGCAAAGTGCGGCCAGGGTTCTCTGCAAAACGATACATCTCCAACTGGTCCAGACTCTGGGATGACAGTATGCTCAACAAGTTAAAATCATCAGGTAACGTGTACTTCAATAGATAGAATTTAAGGCAGGTTTCCGTTGGAGAGACCAAGGTCAAGTTCAAAAATGGGCCTCGTGGGAGGTCCCTATGTCACTGCAGTATACCTTTTGTGTTTGTCTCTTTTCTTGTTAGCAGGATAACTTGAGAATTTGTAAATTGATGCTCATAGTTTTTGGTGGGCAAGTTACCGTTTAGAAGACCAAGGTCAAGTTCGAAAAGGGATCTCTTGGTCTCCATGTCACTTGTGTTTGTCATCAAGCACCATCTTTTTTTCTCTCGTAGGGAGGGTATCTGACAAGACATTGTACAGAGAAAACCCCTTCGGACACAGCCTGTCCACCAAGCGGCGCTACGAGAACTTGTCATACATGCCTCCGCCGTACCGGCTCAACCGCAACATGATGCAGTCTCCCGGAAACTTCGGCAACTATGAGTTCTACCGGGTCAAACCCGACATGATAGATTCTGGTGAGTAGCAACCATTCATGTCATCATGATGAGTTTCTTTACATAATATAAACTGTAAATCACAATTGTTTTGCGGTACTTTTATATTCGCGTTTTTTATGGTCACTCATGTACAGTGAATTAGATAATTACCGTGAACAAATAATTCACCGACTTTCTCTCTTCTGCATCTGCCGCCACCACGTAGATGTAGTTCCGCAAACATTTTTCTCAGACCGTGAAATTTCGCTACCCCAAACATAATGTGATTTACAGTAACATATACGATGTAAAGGGCATAGTTCCGTGACAGTCAAAAAGTCTTAATTTTTAAACATTGTGTTTAACTCTTTTCCTGCCATGGGTGCACTTAACACATAATTGAATGCTTATAATGATTCAAATGAATGTAAAAAGGCAAGGTTTCAGCAAAAGATTAGGTTGCATCAAAGAAAATACTTATTATTAATTATTAATATTAATGTGCAAATGTTTGTGAATGTTTATCAGGCCGTGGGACCCCAGATTCAGCGATGGAAGTGGACCAGGAGTCCGTGGCAGGCCCTGTGTCCCCTCCCCACCACCCCAGTCCTTTTGGACAGATCAAGACAGTACTACACGAGGATGGACACATTAAGGAACTCCCATACAATGAGCTCAGACTGGGGGAAAAACATGAGGTATACAATTCATTTAATATCTATTTCATTAAAACAGCTGGGTAGCCCAATTCAGCTATGAAGCTACTTTCCATTGGGGCCCAACAAAAGGTTGACAAAATAGTGAAATAAAATCCAATGCGTGAAAACAAAAGCATATCGGATTCCATAAATCAAAGTCGTCATAAGGTTCCAATATTAATGTCAACCCCATAAATTCACCATATAATATGTCTTTTTTCGAAAAGAGCAATTTCCCGGTACAATGTACCAGTAGATTAGATCCTCCAGGCCACACGCCGACGCTCTAACCACTTGGCTAAAAGGTCTAGACCCATCGGCTGGGTCAGTTGGTAGCGCCTATAAACCCCCCACTGTTACACATAGCATCTGTCGTCTCTGTTACGACCAGTGGGAGATTAGCTCTTTTGTGAGGTACATTTAAGACTGGATCAAGATCATGTTAGATATCTAATATACAAAATTATCGGCACAAAAATAACATCTAAATGATAGAACGGTTTATCAAATAATGGGTGCAATTCTGAATTTCAGAAATAATGCTGTTATAGTAATGTGACTACCATGATTTTTGTATCAGTACTCCATTTTACATTATATATTTCTGAATAATGGTAGTTTTACTTACATGTAGCTTAGAAGTTATAAGTCCAATGTAACATTCTATACAATAAAGTAAACATACTTGTAGACTGAGTTAGTTATACTTTGACATATAAGATTAGCATGATAATATGATACTGATTTTTTTTCTTTGTGGTTTAGGTTCTGACAGAGCTGCTAGCTACTGCATACGCACACCAACTGTCCAGTCGTGAGGGAGGGGGGCAGGAAGACATGTATGAAGAGGTCAAGGACAATGCATCTACTACCACACAAGTAGACATGAGGAGGGCCATCGAGGTAAAATTTAAAATATGTATTAAAGTGCCTCTACAAATTCCAGAATGGTTAAGAATTCATTGTTGATTTTGATTTAACCTGTTATAGCTATCATGATCATTGTATATGGCCATGTGCACATGGGTCTAAATCCTAAGTACTTACAATTGTCTCTAAATGTCTAATGTTTTACATTGACTACAAATCTTTAATATGAAATATGGTTTTACATATTGATAATGCTGGCTATCTGGAAATCATGTCTTTCATGGAATTTTATTCATGTTGAAGAATATTTGACTTAGTGTTTTTTTTTCAATGTTATTTTTTTTTCAGAAATACAAATGCTGCATTAAGACAAATGATGTGGAAACTGTATTTGGAGATTGAGTGATTTTACAAATTTTAAGCCTTTCACATTAATCCAATTAATTTTTCCAGTCCCTTGTGACGTCCACCAAACCACCCAGCAGACCGGTCCCCACGTTCCCACACTACCACCGCCGCGCCAGCGTCCTGACGTTAGACATCCCCGAAACGGAAAGTGCGGAGGGGAACCCTTCACAGGCCAAGTACTACACCGGGATGTTGAAAGGAAGTGGGCTCACGTCAGAACCCAGTAAGTTTGTATTGCCCAATCACAGTCAAGGTACATCCCTGGCAACATACTTACATCAATCCCACTGCTGACACCAGTTTTAAGGTTTTGGGCTGTTTGCGTAGGAATTGTTTAGAAGGAAAGGACAAAAACTCTGAAGGTGTATTTTTGAATGTTTCGAATGATTTTGTTACAAAGGACAATGTCTTGTATAATTTGCTTATATTAGTACTACTGTAACAATTTGAATGTGTTTTCATCAAGTTTTGTTTCATATTTCAGCCATGAGAAGAGCGTCCATTGCATCCACCCAGCCTGGTAGAGAGACCCACATTAGTTACCCCAGCCTCTCCACACGAGATCACAGCAGGGCCACTCCCTCAAGGCAGTACTCTGGGACCACTTTTGAAGGAACCCTCCCACCGGTACTACCACCCATAGCCAGGGACAGGATGGCCAAGCAAAGTGACACTGGGTAAGTCATCATATAACACATTTGAGTACTGAAAGGTACAAAAGATACACAAATTGACCCTTTTTCCTTTACGACTTCATGATTTTTTCTGACATTTTACTTTTTCCTAATCCCAGGTACCAGACAGATGTTTTGCAAGGGGATGTAGCAGAAGTACAGAGTGAGATCTCGAGTGTTCCCAACCTCCCTCCCATCAAAGTGGGAATAAAGAGGGGCAGTGTGGATACCAGGTCTACAAGAGAGGTAAGTTTTCTTTCAAAGTTCTTACATCGTACCATTGCATGATTTGATAACATCACAACATTAAAAGTACTGTAAAGTAATTCTTCCAACCAATTTGATTTGCATTATGAAGTATTAATTTGTCTTTGGGTATGATTGACAGGTGTCAGACAAGGTGCCGGAGAAGCTTCCTACAATCACAATGGAACCGCCAACCCCCCTGCATCACCTCGGAGGGGGTACCCCCCAGAAGAGCACCCCCCTGCAGGAGCGTCCTGAGATTAGAGCCACCATGGCAGCAACTGGATTTGAGCCATGGCAAAGTAAGTACCAAATAAAATCTTACAGTTTCAGAAAGGAATTTCAAGATGTTTCAGCCTGACTTTTCCATAAGTTTCTGACAGGGGAGCATCATCTAATCTAATTAATGATTTGTCCAATCAACAGGCACCACAGATGAGTCCTTAGATGATGATGAACATGGCTGGGTACAGATGGACGAAGAGGAGATCCTTCGGCGGGCAGAAGAGGAAGAGAAAATGGCAGCTGCCTTGGAGAAACAGTCCAGCAAACATTCCAGCAAACGCTCCAAATCTTCAGCTCGCTCCTCTCTTGGTAGTAAGATCGGAGAAGTAGTAGAGGAAGAGCCAGATGAGGAAGAAGACATGGAGGATGAAGATGAAGAAGATGAAATAGATGTAGATGAGGAAGATGATGAAGAATACGAAGAGGAAGATGAAGAAGAAGAAGAAGAGATGGAAGAAAGAACTGAAGAACGAATGTCAGTTGTCGTCACACCTAAGCCAAAACCAGTTCCTCAAGGAAAGGAGACTCCTGCATCCAAAGCATCTTCCTCTGGAAAGAAAGTAGAAAAATTTGTCATTGGAAAAGTTCCCACTCCCCAAAGGGAAAGAGTGGAGAAGATTGAAGCCCCTCCCCCAACTGCTGAAGACACTGTAGTGCCTAAAAAGGAGGTGAAAAAGACACTTCCACCAAAGGGAGGTGGAGTTACACCAAGAGGGGCAGAACAGAAACCCGCAGCAGTGAAACCAAAACCACAGAAGCAGCCATCACAAGCAAGCCTTGGAGAAAACTTGGCCAACTTGGCAGGTAAAGATATGACATCTAGTATACTACAGTAAGAAAGAACACATTGTAGAAATGTTGTGCTCTGAGTGTTGCTTCCTTGTTCCTAGGCTATGGCCACACATTTTCTGTATTGGTATAGCCGGTATAACCGATCTTCGGCATAACACACCAGCTTCACAGGCACGCGGTGCGGCGGCAGCTGGCTACATTACACCTAACAACTTGTTACACCTAAGCTTTGAACATCTAACTCTTATCATTGTTTAAAGCTATCCAATGATAGTGCCCCTACTGTACTGTGAGTTCCACTCTGCGATAGTTTTAGGAAAGAATATTAAGTTTTTTGAACACCTCAATCCTTAGTTGATCGTGAGTTCCACTCTGTCATAGTTCTAGGAAAGAATAAGTTTTTGAATACCTCAATCCTTGGTCGATAGCAAGTTCCACTCTGCAATAGTTCTCAGGAAGATGTTTTTGAACACCTCAATCCTTAATGGTTGATAGTGAGTTCCACTCTGCAATAGTTCTAGGAAAGAATGAGTTTTTGAACACCTCAATCCTTGGTCGATAACTGGTACTTTTTGTACTGACTCTTGACACTTCTGTTTTGTTTCTGTAGCAGAGTCAGTAGGAGATGTTGGGAAGAAGAGAAGAGGGAGCCAGTCTGGCAGTGTGGCTGGTGTGAGCGTCTCTGGCAGTGAGAAGAGCAACAGGAGCCTGGTGGTGAAAAGTATAGGCGACGGCAGTGTTGGGGGTAAGTCAGCATTCACTTAACTTCAACACTATCTGAGTCTATGTGCAGAGAAACAAACACACACACACAAGAAAATAGTGCAATAGCTCAATTGGTGCTCGCTTTGTAATTGGAAGGTCGTGAGTTCAAACCCCAGCCGGATCATATACCAAAGACTTAAAAAAAATGGTACACACTTCTTTCTCTGCTTTAAGCACTCATCACATATGAGAAAGAGTGTGGGAAGGTCAAACATACAGCACTATCAGCGGACTAGCCCCCTGCTGTAGTGCCTTGCACAAGTGTGTCGCCCAAGGGCTACGGAAATGGAGATGGGCACCACCCCTACGCTCTGCATAGAGTGGAACGGGACCTTTTTTTTTTTTCATTTTCCTTAGGTGTAGACTTGCCATTTTTGAGTTACTTTTTCAAAAGACATTTAGCTTTTGTATAAAATGCATTTTGTAAAATCTTCCTCATCTATAGTCTTTTCATTCCATGTGGTTCATTGATTTATGCTAAATATATGGTTAGACATAGATGTGTGTCATTTGCATACTCGGGACAACTGAAATGAAACTTTGTGTTAAATGTACTGTGATATTCAAATTTGATTCCACAGGAGGAGATGCAGGTAGTGTAAAGAGTAGCCAGGAGAGTCTGAGTGCGCCCCCCTCCCACGTTCACCAGTCCATGAGGGGCAGTAAGAACAACAGTCGAGCTGCCAAGTTCAGTGGACGATCAGACAAGAAGAAAGATGGTGAGTCAAATGAAGATATAATATCTCATAACTTCCCTCTTAGTGCATATTAAAGATCAGGGCTCAAAATACTGGGTGCATGTGCACCTTAGTGCACCCAAATTTGGAGCTGTGCACCCAATTTTTTAGGTTTAACCATGGAGGTAGAAAAAGAGACTACCTCCATGGTTTAACGGTAAATTAAATATACTATGTAAAGGTGTTAAATGTATGGTAGTCACATCTAACTTATTCTAAGTGTCAGAAAAAATAATACAATCATTTTTATAGTACTTTTCTTGAAATGAAACATAGGTATAGTTTTTGCAGACATTTTATTTATTTCATTTCATATGGTGCACCTGTTATCAAAAATGAATTTGGAGCCCTGAAGTTTGTATAAAGTTATTAAAGTTAGAGACAGTGTGTAACATCTGCAAGTAGTGATTATAAAGAATGATGAGATATTTTCATTGCTGATGTATCAAGTAATAAGCACAGTAAGTAATTTTCTTTGCATTACAGTATGGACTTCTTTTCAGTACAGTATAATATTGCAGTTTTTTTAATGCATATAATTTATATTTATCATTTTTTGCCTGAAACTCCTAATAGTACATGAATGTAGTTCTTCTATTGTACTACAAAGTAACTGAACTTTTTTCTTTTCTCTTGTAACAGTTGCCAGTGAGAGCAGTAGTCAGCACGGAAGTCATCGGGGGAGTGTCATTGTTGCACCAGGGGGGGAGGTGCTGAGTGTGGGAGGGTCCATTAAAGCTGCTTCTGAGTCTGGGAGATCACAACAGCCAGAGGACGAGAGAGGTAAAATGACATCTAAATATATCTTTTCCTAGTAGCTATATCCAAATAGTCTATTCTTAAATTGGCATTTGATTACTTTTTGATACAAACGGTTATCAAAAGAAGAGTTGACGGAAACTTTTATTGAATATCAATGACTACATTTATTTAATTTTAATTAATTTGATAAAGGTTAGACATTCAGATAATAAGAATGCTTAAGAAAACTGTCATTCAAGCAACTGGATAGATTTTGAAAACTGTCAGTTTCAATTACCGGTAGCAATCCACTACTTTTTATCAGTCACTGTTTTTTTGAGTATTTAATGACTACAGTTACAAATTACTTACAATGTACTGTCAAGCTAAGAATGTTTGCTATCTACATTATAAATTGGTTAAAACACCAACAGTTAATAGAGACATAAATACTTACCAGTAATGCTTCAGTAAAACAGTAAAAGACGATTTACTGAAGATTTACTGAATTTTTACTGTTAGTAGTTGATCAGTACTTAACAGTAAGTTTTCAGTACTGATGGTTTGCCAAGGGTCTGCCTGTAATACTAAATTGATCTTCAGTTATTCAAAATTGTTTAAGGTTCTAAACTAACTGAAGTCTTATTTTCCCCATGTACAGAGGATGATCGTATGTCTGAAGACTCTGGCCACATGTCTGAAGGAGAAGAAGAACCAGCCGAGGTCCAGTCTGTGGCTTCTGGTCCCTCCTTAGGGTCTCAGAGAGCATCTAAGATCTACGGCTATTCCAGAAGACAAGGTACGTTTCATTCTTTATACATGTATGTCAATGTATCCTGTATGTCAATGTATCAAGTAGCGTGCGTAGTCCAGTGGTTAGCGATCCTGCCTCTGGACTAAGAGGTTAGGAGTTCAAATCCCGGCTGTTGTCGCTCACCCGACATGCACGCTGCTGTTTAGGATCGCAGTCCTTAGGACGGGACGTTAAGCTGTGGTCCACTGTTCATTGTGTTTGTCAAAAAAGAGCTAGCTGAGGGAAATTTCCCTGGTACAATGAACCTGTAAATACTGTACAGTACAGATCTCGGGATAAGCATCAAGTCCCGCGGGAGATCCCGCGGGAGTTTGCGGGATATCACGCGGGAGTTTGCGGGATCTCCCGCGGGAGTTTGCGGGATCTCCTGCGGGAGTTTGCGGGATCTCCTGCGGGATTTATCGGGATATCCCGCGGTACGAAATCCTCTCCCGCAACCCCGATCTTCGGTGTGAGACTTTAGGTTTCCGAAGGGCCGGCGCCGCTGTTACTTGAAGTTGAACCGCGTTGACTACAGATTTTTACGCAGACAGACGATGCGTGCATGTTTTAGTATGTTTTCAATGCATACAAATAACAGTAGAGCAAATAGTATTCTTAACCAAACATTTCTTTTTTTTAATATCGAAAATCTGGTGGCTTAATAAGATATAGAACGATAACAAAGTAATACAACCTTCTTGAACAAGTTTTGTGTCCGGCCTTGCGACGTGGACGGCTTTATTTTGATGTCACCCGACCCGCGCTATTTCAGATATGATTTTTAAAAAATCTAACGCATCGACGTGCCAAATCGCCACTCGAGTTCTTTATTTTTCTCCTAGATAGGGGAGGTTGACGTATGGAGTTACGGAAGAGAGATTAAACATTGTTTAAAACAAGGGGGCGAAGCATAATTCAAGAGTTCTTTACGCCTCAAACTTTGATACATTTCGTGCGCCACGCAGTGTTCAGGGCCTGCATGGGGGTTAGTGATTACGAATTACGCAAAATTTTCGCTATAAAGTTAAAGTTTCAGAGCTGATTACGACTTTACGCTTTGCGGCTAATGTACTGATTACGAATTACGTTGATTTTAGGGAAGATTGCCTACGGTTTACGAAGACAATGAATTAAAAAACGCCTGATTACGCCTTACGAAAAAGGGCATGCAGACCCCCAGTGTTGGGCCGGGCGTTCCCACGCCGCGTCGCCATAGAAACCGCACGTCGCCAGCAGCGGCGCTGGCAGACTCCCCGGCGCCGCCTGACCACGTGGCGTTCTGGCGCGCCAATCACAGCGCGCAGATGGGGACACGCCCACCAGCCGGGCCGCGAATTCAAAGAGTTGAGTCAGATGCGCCGCCCCAAAGAAACACCGCCTGACGATTGTTATACGTACGTCGGATTGTAGCTTCTTTTTCCGCCCTGCACGGCCGGCATGCGGCATTGTAAATTTCTTATATCCCAATTTCATCCCAAAACAACGTTTTTCACATGTGAGGAGGCTAGTTCCACGGAGTGTACCGAGTGAATTTCAAGTTTTATGGTCTGAGAACGAATTAATTTGCGTCAAATTTTGCATAAACACGTTTAGTTCGGGTTCTCCCGTGTTTATTTATTTTTCGGGTTCTCCCGTGTCTTGGGCGTGCGCTAAGTTTATAGCGTTGTTCTGTTAAAAATCGACTCCGTTTTCATCTAGTTGGCTGACCCCGTAGCTGACAGAAGTAGAATGTTTTCCTACCGAAAGAAACTTTGCCAGCCGCGTGGAAGTACTTGCTTTCAGGGTGATAGCAATCTATCGAAATTAATTATGGACATAGTCGTTGTTGATGCAAGAGTTTTTGGGGAGGGGGGAGACGCACGCCCCGGGATTTTGATGGGCAAACTTGTAATTGTCGCAATTCTTAATACTAATACGGAGACCTCTTGACGCAAGCTACCCATGAGAAGACAACAGCTACAAGATTATGAAACACAACCACAAACTACTGCCGGTACGCCTCATAATTTTTATTTCTTGGTAACAATATTGCCGAATTTACCGGAGACGGAGGGATTACTACACGTTACATTGTATTCATTCACGGTAGTTTCTTAAAGTTAAAGTTTGCGCTGAACAATAGCTTTGAAAAAAAAGTAGCAGTTTTATAATAACTATGACCGCGTGAGAAACACCTTATACACATTATTTTCGTACATTCCTATGCTTCAACACCATCAAAATTGTAGCAAAATTGTAGCAAAGTTGACTGGCGTCAGACTCCATCGGCCCGGCACAGATCGCCCGGCAGGACGTAAAAATAAACATTTGACACGCCGCCATCGCCGTTCCGAGCCGCGGCAGACTTCGGGGTCTCGCACCAAGTTTTTTCGCTACGCTGTACGCGGGACACGACAGGCCTCCCGAAAGAATACCGCGGGATATCCCGCAATCTCCCGCGTGATATCCCGCAAACTCCCGCGGGATATCCTGCAGTCTCCCGCGTGATATCCCGCAAACTCCCGCGGGATCTCCCGCAAAATCCCGAATCCCGATGATGCTTATCCCGTGATCTGTACTGTACATAGCGTCTGTCTTCTCTGTCACGACCAGTACGTGGATGATCTTCAGTGAGCTAAACTGGCTCGAGGTCATTTTCTTTCACTTTATCAATGGTTATTTCACAGTCAACTATAAGTAGAAAAAGCACAATGTTGGACTATAGAGCATCTTTTGTACCTTGTACTTATATAGGCTGAATTGTGTAAACATAGCACATACAACTTTGATGATGCTTCAATGTTTAAAACATTAGCTTTCTAAAATACCATTGTATAAGATAATATTATTACCTTCGCCAAGAAGGTTATGTTTTCAGGGGCGTTCGTGTATGTGTGTGTGTGTGTGTGTGTGTGTCTGTCTGTCTGTCTGTAAACACGATAACTTGAGAAGGCCTTGATGGATTGTCTTGATACTTGGTAGGTGGGTAGGTCTTGATGAGACCTCAAAATGATTAGATTTTGGACCCCCTAGCGGCTTGTTATGGTACTGCAGCTGAACTTCCGGTTTTGATACCTCATGATCTAGACATGCTACGGTGATGAAATTTAGATGGTAGGTAGCTCTTGTGCTGGGAAAGAAGTGACGTGAGTTTAGGCCCCCTAGCGGCTTGCTCTGGAACTGCAGGGATAAATTCTTGAAAATATTCAAAAGGGGATAACTCAAGAACCGGTTGACGGATCGTCGTGATTTTTGGTATGTAGGTAGCTTACGTGATGCTTAATATAATTATGTGACTATTATGCAAATATGGATGTACTTTGCATAATTTATGGGGAAATTCTATAAATCAGCTGCATTCCATGATAGGACAATTGAAGCTTGTGACATTCAATTTGGTAATTGACAACGAGAGAAACACAGGAAGATGTTGATTATGCTAATAATGACTTAATTTGCATAATTAATGAGAAAATTTTACAATTATGTATTATGTATACAATTACAAAAATGCTAGAATGCATTCTTTGTTAATATAAGACTGTCTTTTGGTTGAGATTATGATAAAATGATATAATTCATGAAAATTAGGTTCCTATTTCTTAAATCAGGGGAGAATAATCTAATCTAAACTTTGTCAGTTATAAAGATTAACATCATTTGGCGAAGGTATGAGATCGGGGAACTCTAGTATATAACAGCATCTGTAGGCAGCTAAGAGTCTAAGGGTAATCTACTATACAGAGTTTTTCAAAAGTTTAAAGAGGTATAATGTTATTTGGCTGTTGTTTAGTACAATTATCATACATTTTTGTACTGGCAGTCGGTCTACATGTATGTTATAAGTATGATTATAACTGTCTTTTGTCTTCTCCCTAGAAATCGATGTTACCAGTGGCGACTTTGATGCCTCGGCCTTCCTCTCGGCCCGTAGCGTGAAGTCGGACGACTCGAAATCGCAGAAGTCAGAGGAGGACAAGGACTCGCGCTCACAGAAGGGCTCAGTCAAGAGTTCCGTTAGTAACCCCAACCTGGCCAGTAATGCTCCAAGTCTGGCTCCTATAGAGGATGAGGGGGAAGAAGAAGATGAAGAGGAAGAAGGTAAATCGTGAAAAATTATACAAAATTATCACCGCAACAAAGTTATAATCTTAACATGAAAAACATTGTGTTTGTTCATCTTACTGTGTTGGCTGTTTACATGCAATATTACAATGTAAATCAGGTTATAAGAATATGAAAATATGCAATATAAATTATGGAAAAATTATCAAAAATCGTTGCCACAACAAAGTTTTACTAAATGTACAGCATAATTCACATTGAATTTCACTGTGCAGAATATGGTGACCGTCATCTTTCATATGATTGAATGTCAACGTTCTGCTTAATTTTTTTCATAATGTTACGATCGTATCTCCATATGTAGTATAATTGAGACATATTTAGCAGTTTTTGTCCCTTAATTCTTTTATCTTCAATATTTTGATGTAAATATCTATCATTTAGAATACAAACTCATTGGAGGTTTTGAAAACATTCCTTTTCGTTTATTGCACACTTTCAGAAGACTGGGCTGCGCTGGCTAAGGAAGCGAGCGACAGGGAGTCCCAGGGGTCACGTCGGACGTCACAGTCACTGGCCGCTTCCCAGAAGTCCCTGCGTGAGCACGCTGCCGCCATCGCCGCCGCGGTCCTACAGAAGCAAGGCACGGGGAGAGACCTCGGCACAGACGCTCTGGTAAGTACTGTGATTCTTTAGTATTACTACTGGTGTACCAAGAGCTCAAAATTAAAGGTGGTGCAATGGCCCCTGACCACTTAGGCTGAGACAACTAAAAAGTCACTTTGGGACATTTCTGGGACAATAGAAAAATAATCAACATCAGAATGTCAGCCCTTGTTTTGTTTTAGGCACACGTCTCGGCTTTTGGATTCGGAAAAATCCCCCTGAATTTCCCATCTACTCTGCAATTATAGTGCACCTAGGAGTGAACATAAGTAAAATAAAGTTGATTTCAAGTTGAAGTCATACAATACTCCTCAAAAAACATGCTGGGACACCTGAATATTTGATGGACATGCCGCCACTCTCTCATTGGTCGAACTGCTAATTGCCAATCTCACATTGGTTGAACTTCTAATTGTGATGGACATTCGGGATCGGTCTATTCAAACTCTGTATAATGTACATTTTTCCACAGGTTCCCGAATATTTGACGGACATGCCACCACTCTCTCATTAGTCGCACTGCTAATTGCCACTCTCTCATTGGTTGAACCGCTAATTGCCACTCTCTCATTGGTCGAACCGCTAATTGCCACTCTCTCATTGGTTGAACTTCTAATTGTGATGGACACTTCGGATCACTCTATTCAAACTCCATTGTACCCTCAGGTTGCTGCCAGACTGTGGCGAGAAGTTGACGACATGGTGAGGTTAGAGGACCTCCCGCCGCGTGCACGGTCGGCCGACCCTCAGCCCAAACAGCGGGAGAAAGAGATGGTTCACGACGGCGAAGGAAACGAGATAGAAGTGGACGTGCTCGGGCCGCTTCCCGAAGCCGGCCAGCTGAGTCAGAAGATGAGCCGATCGGCCGGACCGCTGGTGGCAATTGCTCGGGAGATGAAAAAACAAGCAGGTATGAATCAATGCTAACATATACTGTAATTACCTCCATTAAAAATGGAGGTATTGTTTTTGGTGTGTCTGTATGTGTGTATGTGCGTGTTTCCACACATTTGTAGTCAGCATAACTTCAGAATGCCTTAAGTTTATGGGTTGTGATGATATTTGGTATGTTGGTAGGTAGTAGGAAGACAAGGTCAAATATGGGCCTCCTGGTGGCTGACCTTGGTACTGAAACAGAACTTCCAGTTTTTGTATCTTTTTTCCTGAGCAAGCTATGGTCTTGGACTTTTTGTGACAGATAGCTTTTCCTGTCAGGAATAAGTGGTGTGGGTGTTGTCCCCCTAGCAGCTTGTTTCACTTTGCCTTCACGGTCTGAGGAAAATGGACATGTTCACAGAGCTTTAAACAAGAATAAAGCATATAGTTGTCTTTTTTTGCCCCTTATTTTAATACAGGGCAAAAAAAGACAGCTATTTAGATTTAAAAATCTGTCAGATTTAAAAATCTGAATGTGTTTTTTCTTCCTTTCAGCCCTGCTTGGTATGGAAGGAGAAGACTTTGAAGTTGATGCAGACACTCTACAGCAACTTAAGGATGAGTCTCTGACACCTGAAGACATTGAGATTGTCCGAGACGAGGCGACAGGCAAAAACATCATCCGCTCCAGACGATCATCTAAAGCTAGTGAATTGTCAAGTAAGTAACCCTTTTTCAGTAACCATTTTTTAGGCAACCAAGTTACAGAGATTGCTAGTCATTTCACAATAAAACCTTTACATAGCATAGAGTTACAGAGTTTCTTTTCAAAGTTGTATATTATTGTTAACCAAAGGAAAACATATTGTTTTTGCTCTGTTTCCTCTTTTTCTTCTTCCTCAAACCAAAAAGGTCAATGACCTGAACCAGACGTCTGTCACCATGGTAACTAGTGGTGGGTTACATCATGTTGCAATTTTACAGCAGGAGGGATTTAGACTCCTATCTGAAAATTATGTATGAAATGTGTTTGAGTAAGTATTAACAGAGCAGATTTCATGCAAAGGTAAACATAATGTAATACTATTTGCTTTGCAAATGTTACCTTTCTAGTTAACTTTAAATTGCTGTTCTATTCGGAGCAGGTAAGCCCAGTCTTGCTGCTGCTTCTGCTGTTTCTGCTGCTCAGTCTGTTAAAACAGCATCCCTGAAAGCTGCTAAACCAGCTGCTAAACCAAGTGAACCCCTAAAGCCAGATGTCACAAACTATGGCAAAGCCGATGTACCAGAGAAAGAGGAAAAGCCCATCAAGGAAAAGGAAGAAGTTGTGCCAAAAGCTCGAGCTCCACTTGCTCCCGTTGCCGAGACGAAAAAGGAACAACCAAAACCGACACCGAAAAGAGAAGAAGCACCCAAGAAAGTGGAGACACCCAAGAAGGCTGAGCAACCTAAGAAAGAAGAGCCGCCCAAGAAACCAGAGCCACCAAAGCCTGTTAAAGAAAAGAAGGAAAAAGTTGTTCCAAAGGAAGAGCCGGCTCCTAAGAAAGAAGAAGTGAAGGAGGAAAAACCAGCTGCAAAGGAGAAAGAAAGCCCAGGTAGTAGAAAATGAAAACCATGTAGGGAGGGTGCACTTTTCTGCCTTTAGATAGATTTTCAAAATCTTGCTGACTTTCATAATTTAGGAAAGTCAGAGATGATCCGCTCACAGTGTGTTGCAAAAGTATCCATTGCCAAAACACATTTCTACCATGATATTTCATACTACACTGACAGTAACTGTTTATCTTCTCACTTATGCAACACCCTGTGAAGAGGTCAAAAGTTTGTAGAAGGCAGTTCTGTGTATCTACCATACAGTGGTGTTTTCCACTAGTCCTGGCTTAACCTACAAAATGTGACATTCTGCCAATCGTGAGCACATGGTTGGAACAATTAACAATGCAATTAACATTCTTTGTTATTAACAGGTGTTTGATCACTTGTATGTGTGTGTTATAGTCTACTACTCAGTTAACTATGACTGTGTTTATCACTTTCAGGTAGAGATGTGGACTAATAATGTGCTTGAATCTACCCCTAAACCGTCTTTTTTTTCTTTTATAATATTTACATTGTACCTTATACAGGGCTCGAAATTCATTTTTGGGCATAGGTGCACTGGTGCACCCAACCTAAAAATTTTAAGGTGCACAAAAATTTTTGGTGCACCATATAAAACAAAACCTAATTACAGATCTTGCTGCTCCTCCTCTGAGCTTGAATCTGAAATGGGAGCTAACTTCAAAATCTTAAACAAGTACTACAAGAAAGATTTTATTATCGTTCTGACACTTAGATGCCAAGGATATTAAAAAAAATGTCCAAAAATACCTACAAATTATTTGGGTGCACAGCTCCAATTTTGGGTGCACTAAGGTGCACATGCACCAAGTATTTTGAGCCCTGTATGATTCTTGAACTTCCTTTTTTTCATATACAAAGGCAAAAAGTCTCTGTCCTAGAAATGTTTCTCAGACAGACAATTTTTTGTGGTGCTTTTTTTTTAGCAAAAGCAGAGAAACATCCAAAGGAAAAGGAAACTAAGAAGAAGAAGAAGAAGCCAAAATCTCCGGTAGCAGTTGAAGAAGTTGCAAAAGAAGAACCTGAACCACCAAAGGAAGAAACACCAGAACCTCCGGTAAGATAATGTCTTAAATCATTTTCTCAGTACTTTCCCTTTAAAAAAAATATTCATGAATGTCAAATATGATCTATAGATAAAGTTCAACATTGAGGCTGTATAGAAATGAAGTCTTTAATACATTACAATTTATGTGATACAATATTTTAATTCTAACAATTAGTATGTTGCACATTTCAATTGAAATGTACACAATTCTCTTTCAAACATGACTGTACAGAAGAGAGAAAGGTATTATTAGAAACTCTAAGTAAACAAGTTGTGGTGTTAAAGTTATGTACAAAATGTACATGTAGTTCAATAATAACATAATGATTATGTTTTCTAATGGCCTATCAGGCCTGTATCTCATACATGCTGACTGTGATGTTGTTATGGTAGGAAATAAATTCTTCACCTCAGTCCACAGTTACAGTTTTCTGTGTTGCACACATTGTCTGTGTGATATAAACACGGTGACCATTTTTTGTCACTTTTGTTGAAAAGACTCTTCTGCACTGTTGACATTTTCTACACTGTAAAAAGTAACAACTTGTGTAGCAGAATTATTGCGCAACTTTGAAAGTAAAACTAATATAAGAGAAACAGTTGATGGCATATTTTCCAGAATTTCTCCATCCTATATCAATTGATATGTAGATTGATTGACTGATTCATATTGAACAGCAAGACTATAATTGTGAATGTACCATGTATATTGTATTTTAATATGTGATTTTTTTCTGCATTAAAAAGCCTGAGAAACCAGGCAAGTCAGGCAAGGGTTCAGCCAAGAGTGGGAAGAGTACAAAGAGTCATTCTTCACTGGAGGACAGACCAACATTTGTTATTGGTAAGTATATGTACAAACAATATAGTTAACTCTTAGGCCACACCAATTTAATTTCTTGGTTAACGTATTCACCCGCTTAATTTTTTTTCTGATGTGCAAATACAAATAAAAATTCAGAATCAACTGCAAAATGCTCATATTTTGCCCTGAACAGTTGAAAACAGTCCTTTTCTTCCTAGTTGTTACAGTTATTCCATCTTACAATGCAGTGGTACAAAATGTATTATTAAAAGTTCAAAATTCATTGTTTAGATTTTGAACCAGCCTGGTGTGTTGACTTCATGGCATCCTATCGTACCATTTTGGGCCATAATAGGATGCCTAGGCCTGTTTTTATTTATTTATTTTGTCGCCCGCCTGCTCCATTATTTTTCTAGAAAAATCCATTAACCAAGAAATTAAATTGGTGTGGCCTTAGACTAGTAGTTATTATGTGTTTTGAAGAGTGTGTATGCCTAAAGAGTGTGTATACTACTAGTTGAAGAAACAAACAATCATAAAAGCCATAAAAGCTAAAGCTCAAATTTTACTATCACAATGAGTTACCAGAGCTTTGGTTCTTTAGAATTCTTCTTAGCTGTATTGAACATGTCAACCATCTTTAAACTCGGTTCTTTGTTTTTTCATTATGAAACCTTGTTGATAATGCAAGTTTATTGCAAATACTTGCCCGAGGGCTAATTGCAGTTACAAACAACATATTAAGAAAGAAAATACAGTGGTATGTGAGACTACATCTACGTCTAGCATTATACTATATTCTACAACATGCATGGTACTAGTTTTACTGGGTTTGACTTCTTCTTTTTAGGCAGTGGAAGACAAATTTACCCACTTCTTCTATAATATGTGGGTTCTTTGATTTAGTAGTAAAAGTGTTTTTTTTTTGTGGTAGGGAATGGTGGGGAAGTAAGGGAGCATTTTGGACCGGGTAATATGATATTTTGTTTTACAGGGCAACCCAAGACAGAAGTAAAAGCAGAAGAGCCTCTGCCTGTCCTTCCTAAGAAAGAAGCTGTACCCAAGGCTGCCAAAGCACCAGCTCCCAAGAAAGGAGGGAAGAAGAAAGGAAAGAAAGAAAAGAAGCCAGAAGAAGCCGCTCCAGAGGCAGAAGGTAATAGGATGCAATATTATAAGATAACTTTAAGAATACTTTCTGCCCAATGCCTCTTTTACATGTAGTTACTGTAGCTGATATGAATGCTACATAGCTTTTAAATCAGTTTTTTTGTACAAACCATATGCATTCACACTTATTATGTCTCATATATAGCATCATTATAGATGCAGTGTTGTATTGATTGGTTTGTATACTATATATTAGTTATGCTGTAAATGTACCATGGAAACATTTTTTCAAAGATTGTAATATTGTAGTGCTTGCACAGATATGTGGCCCAAGGGCTATAGAAACAGAGATGGGCACCATCCTATATGCACAGAAAGGTGTAGGAAGGACCTTTACATATCATCATATCATAAAGGTTATAGGTTCAGCTTAGATATTATAATATACATGTAGTATCAAGGTCTAGGCTGTTATGAAGCAAGTTTAAACTGCAATTTCCAACACAACAAATTCTTTGTCAAGGAATGAACAATCCACCGCTTCTGTGACGTCACGCAGATAACACACGTGACTCCGTGAGCAGTGGATCATAGGTTGCAGAAAGTCTGTGGCGCCCCCTGTCTCTGTTGAGGCTGGTCTAGGTCTTGTTGATCTTAATAACTCTCAGTTAGCCTTTCCGCTTCTTTGGTCAAAGTTGAACCCTTATTTTCACCATTGTTTAACAGAAGAGGCCCCTGCAGCAGAGGAAGAGATAGTCAGGTCACCGACCCCTGAACCAGAGGAGCCTGAGCCAGAACCTGAGCCTGAACCTGAACCTGAACCAGAAGAGGAGGAAGAAGAAACACCTTCAGAATCTCCTACGAAAGGTTCATATTCCACCAGTTTTATATCTTCACGAAATTCTATATTGTACAAGAATTTGGCCTATTGTGACCATACAATACTTGTCTTCTCTCATTTGACAGGCAAAAAGTTTGATATGTTGTTGCCTATATTCCAGTAATGAATCAGATAGAGTCTGGGCAAGATGCTATAGACTGTATGCATGCAACAGATACATGTAATGGGGAAAGATTCTTCCAGACATTATGTAGGTCACATTTGAACAATCAATCTCTCATGTACAAATGTAGCTCTTCTACTAGGCCATTAGTTTTAACACTACTGTTAGTGTCCTGTCCCAAGTGTAATGAATGGTACAGTCCAAAAAGTGGTCACTTATTGTAGTAACCAACCACTTTTGAGGTTACAACCTGATAACCGATGGGAAATGGAGCCTTCTGATTGGTCGACGTCTTCTGGCTATGATAATAAAAGTCCTGACTAATGTTTTTGATTCTACAGCTTCCATCCCGTCAGCCACACCATCTCGTGCCTCCCCTGAGAAGACCACCCCTGCCCTGGTCCAGCCTCTGCCCTTCGGCACAGTCAACGCTCCTCCATCCACCAAGAGTGAAGGAACCGAGAGTGCAGAAGGGGTAAGATAAAGTCTTAAAGGCATACAGTGCAGTTTTTAGGGCTAGGAAATCCTATTTTTTCAAAGCCAATATGCTAGTTGTTAATCTACTGAGTTGAAACCACACTATCCCAATGTATATTGACCCTCAAGGAGAAAAAATTCCTCAAATTCTGACAGAAAATGGTTACTGGAAGGCTGAATTTTAGGGTACCACCCAGAAAATAAAGGACTCATCTTGGGGCTTGTTTCTGCAGTTTTAAATTCCCAAATGATATGGAACAGTCCATTTTGGAATGGAGAGGGATTATGTGGACTGAAATATGCTGTATTTGCTCAAAAGCAAATGTCGGCCTTTCTAGTTATGGATGATTTTTAAACATTTTTTTCCCTAACAGGATCACGCTGAAGATAACGAGGCAGCTGAAGCAGCGAAAGTTGCAGCGCGGGAAAAACGGGCCCAGAGAGAGGCTGCCCGAGCGGCGGCCGCTCAGAAACGGAAGGAAGAAGTGGAGCGGAAACGGAAGGAGAGAGAAGAGCAGAAGAGAAGGGAACAGGAGGAGGTTGAACGGCAGGAACGAATGAAGCAAGAACTGGAAGATGAAAGGAAGAGGAGGGATGAAGAGATGAAGTATGTTAAATTTGTATTTTACATTTACTAGCCATCCTAAAAGTCTTTCCTTAATTGCACAATCCACCTATACACAATTGCAGAATTCAGATTTTGAAAGATTTTTGTGGTTGAGTTTATGTACTATTATGTACAGTGTGTTATTACTGTTTACAGTTCTGTGTACCGTCAGTGCAATTCGGAAGTAAATGTATGTTTTATTTCTGTAAGGTTGATGGTTGTTTGAATTATATAGCTTTATATGAAGAAGAAAATGATCAATTTTATTTTAAAAGACTCCAGAGTACATGTAGCATAGTACAAACTTTGCAGCAATGGGGGGTATCTTTAAGTTAGTGTTTAACACAGTGACTGTTGAAAAATAAATGCCTATTGTTGAAATACTGTACATTGTGCATTATGCACATTGGTGCAGGTAAAATTGGAGCTGTGCAGGTATTTCTGATGTCTACCTGCACCTAACCTGCACTGGTCCATGTACTTGGTATATATTTGTATGTGGATTTCTATTTGCTACATTCACTGTTACCATCTATGAAAACAATGGCAATGCCAATGGTTTCTGAACAGTTTTTAGTGTGATCCATACTTCTCAAAGCCTGAGTGGTGCAGGTTAAATTTGTTTACAGGTAATTTTCAATGTTACCTGCACCAGTGCAGGTTTGCAGAAAAAGAATTCGAGTCCTGTGTCTGATACATTCTGTCTATCCTTTCAGGAAAAGAAAAGAGCAGATGGAGGAGGAAAAGAAACGTCAGGCGGATGAGGAGGAGAGGAGACGGCAGGCGGAGATCGCGAAGCTGGAGAGAGAGCGCCGACAACAGGACGAGTATCGGCGCATGATGGCCGAAATGCAGCGTAAAAAGAAGGAAGAGGAACAACGCAAAGCTGGTGAGTCAAATCAGCAACATAATATGTATGCTAACAGGAAATTCAAAGTCTACTACTGGATAAATTACGGAGATAATTTCCGGACGTTTTGAATGACATCCACCACTCTTCTTCAGCATCACTAATGAACTAACGGAAGGGAGGACTTCATATAGAGTAGTCCTCTAGTGTCTATACGAAGTCCTCCCTTCTATTATATGTACATGTAGTTCTGTTAGTTAATTAGTGACGCTGAAAAAGGGTAGTGGATGTCACTCGAAACGCTCGGAAGTTTATTTTCTATGAGTCAAATTTCCTATGAGTATTGTTTACCTGGATGTCTAATCTACATCATGTAAAATAATGCAAAATTATAATTACGTATAGATATTTTGCATCAAAAATGATTTCATCACATTTGTAGAACATACATGTAGGGTATCGGAGTGTTCTTTTTCTCAAACAGAAAAGTCTCACCTGCTTATGTTTTAAGGCATGCAACTTGTAGTGAAGAGGTAACTAAAATTCATCCTTGTTTTTCCTTGGTACAGAAATTGCAGCAGAAAAGGCCAGGGAAGAAGAAGAGAGACGAAAAGAGGAAGAAGAAAAGATGGCCCAGATGGAGGAGGCAGAACGTCTCGAGTACGAGCGACAGAAGAGAGAAGAGGAGGAAAGAAGACGGATTGAAGAAGAAGAGAGAAGACTTCGAGAGGAAGAAGAGGCAAGAATACGAATGGAGGAGGCTAGACTTCTTGCAGAAAGGATGGCTAAGGAAAGGGCCATCTTGGAGGAGAAGTTGAAGTTCCAGAGAGGACTAGCATCAGAGTCTAGTAACTTGGAACATGGACAGAACCTCAACCCAGCCTTTACTTTCTCTTACTATGAACTTTTGCAACTCTTAGGACTACAGTTTCCAACTGAGGAAGGAGACAAGGATGTTAATGGATAGAAACAATTTCTCCTAGATTTTTATTCATGGCTGCAGAAGATTTTTAATTAATCTTCCCTTAGGCCACACCAATTTAATTTGTTGGTTCTCAGATTTTTTCAGAGAAAATATGAAGCGACAGGGCAAAAAAACAAAAATAAAAACAGACCAAGGCATCCTATAATAGCCCCAAATGGCATGAAAGGAGCCATGAAGTGAACATACCAGGCAAGTTTGTAATTCAAGCATTAAATTTCAAACCTTTAATCAAACCACTGCATTGATAGATGGAAAAACTGTAACAATATTGAAGAGAAGGGACCTCCTTTAACTGTTGGGACCAAAAGATGAGCGTTTTGGAGTTGATTCAGAGGCTGAAATGTTTTTTTTTCTTTTTTTGCAAATCAGAAAAAAATGAAGCGGGCGAATCCGTGAACCAACAAATTAAATTGGTGTGGCCTTACATGGCTTTTACAGAACTAGCAGTGTATTTGACAAATGCATCATATTATAGTAGACCACATTAATTTTGAAGATAGCAAGATTTAGAAACTCCATTACATTATTTCAGATTATTGAACATGGATTTTTTCTTTTCCCAAAGACAAGAAGTCAGATGTCTAGATGAGAACCTGTGGAATTTTTGATAGGTACATTTTGTACATGTATGCTGCAATTGTAGTGGCTGCATATAGGATTGTTAGAACACACCTAGTATGTGAACACTACAGTACTGTAAGTCATAAAAGATTTGCAGTGTTTTTATGTTCATGGTTTTGCAGTTAGCTTATTGCATTTCAAAGATGTACAATGTAGTCTCTTGCATTGTATTTTTGCAAAGTTTATATGCTGCAAACTTAAATCAAGTAACAGTACATGCTTGTTCAGGCATACACACAAGGTGCCAATTTTTTTTCTAATATATAAAAAGCCTTGCCATTAGCTGATGCTTAAGTGAAACTTATTCCGTCCATTGAGAGAGGCATTTCTATTGGCCAAAGCATTTTGAGAGAGGCATTTCTATTGGCCAAAGCATTTTGAGAGAGGCATTTCTATTGGCCAAAGCATTTTGAGAGAGGCATTTCTATTGGCCAAAGCATTTTGATTGAATTTGCAATCATGGTAAATAAGTATGTTGCCTTTCATGTTAAGGCAGGAATGTATCATTGAAATACTATGCAAAAAATATGTGTTTATACTAAAGTTCATTATTTTTGTTTGACAAGTATACATGTAGATATATTTGTATCATAATTATTGTAATGTAAATATTGGCACTGCACTGTATATTGTGTGTTAGTAAGGAATTTATCAATGAATATATGCTTATAAGCAACGAAATATTTCATTGTTTAAGAGTTTGAGTGTTTTATTCAGTGCAAAATCCTGCATTTAATGTGAAAAATAAAGATTTTCTATGTAAGATTCAGACTGAATTAAAAGGGTCTAAACACAATATATACAGTATGATTTTCACACATATCATTATATTATATATACATGAATACCTAAGGGTTGTCCAGGACTGGTCTGGACTAGTAGGGTTAGGCCACACCAATATAATTTGTTGGTTCTCAGATTGTTTCATAAAGCATGAAGCGACAGGGCGAATAAAAATGAAAATAAAACAGGTCTAGGCATCCTATTATAGCCCCAAATGCTACGATAGGAGCCATGAGGTCAACACAAAAGGCTTGGTTAATATTTAAACAATGAATTTTGAGCTTTTAATCAAACCACTGCATTGATAGCTCAGCGTTGTGTTGATGGCGTTCAGCACCAAGGACAGGTATGCTTGTGTGTGGATGGCGTTCAGCACCAAGGACAGGTATGTTGTCTGCATGTGGATAATGTTCAGCACCAAGGATAGGCATGTTTGCCTGCGTGTGGATGGTGTTCAGCACCAAGGACAGGCATGTGTGCATGTATGTGGATGGCGTTCAGCACCAAGGACAGGCACTGTTGCCCGTGTGTAGAATGTAAATTTGTCCATCGCAAATGCATGACGTAGCTAATATGCGCCTCCAATGTATTACTAATGTACAGGAGAATTGTTTTTAATCATGAAGCCGAAATACCCCTTCCTCGAAAACCTTATTTCCCTTTCTACGGCCCGAAAATCTCCGCAAAAATAATGGAATGCCGATTTGTAAGTTTCATGGTATGGTCCTACTACGTATACAGAAGTTTATTTATTCGTTAAAACTTTGTCAGTAACAGAAATGTTGTTCTACTCATCATTTAGTTGTATTTCTAAGCCATTTAAAACTTTGAATCTATTTAGTTTTATAGAATTGAAGTTGTTTTAGTAATTAGATTGGCTTCATATTAATTAGACGGCCATTTTGAACACCTGTGTGAAAAAGCCACGTTTGGTACAGTCCGTCCAAGATGGCCGTCCTTTCGTATGTGTCGGAAATTCTCTCTGAGAGTTTTTGCAACTTTTTGGGTACTTCTTCGAGTTTTTGTCGGTAGAATGTCTGACCAACGTGTGTAACAGATTGTTGGGAACTTTTTGTGGTGGATTTGTGTCGTTCCCGCGATGTTTTGAGGAGAAAATGTGGATTTCCTGACCTGGCGAATTTTGGAGAAGAAGACAAGATGGCGATGTGCAGTTGGGCATGGGAGGAGTGGCGTGGTTCGGAGACGACCTCTTTTGTTCTTACAGGTAAACCAACTTACTCTTTCTCTGACAAAATCCCTTAGCAACTAGTGAGAACATGTCATTTTATATTCCATAATAAATGGTGTAACGTTGGGTGTGTTAGTTCTGAGCGGCTATTCCAAATTCAAGGCACTGGCATGGCTTTGCATCGAGTCCATTTTGCCTCGTTTTCTGGAACATTTTTCGTGTGTGCTCCTAGAGTATTGAATGTATCAGCGTTTGCCAGTTATAGGACGTTTTGAGTTCATATTCATTGAAAAAATAATGCTCTATAACAAAAAGTGCCTTCTTTTTACTTCCACGTGGTTAAAAAAAAAACACCTGATGATAGAATGTGCACGTGTGCATGATTAAATTATCTTACTGTTCCCGCCAAAATCTTGCGTATTTTAACAGGACTGGGTCCTCTAAGAATCAACTTTCAAGGCACAAAAGAGTTTTTAAACTTCACTCTAGTTTATCACATGTTCTTTCTTCTATTATTGTTCGTTCTTGTGAATATTTCTCCGCTGAATACGTCGGAATATAATGTACCTGAAAGTTTCATCTACTCCATGTGCTTTTTCTCCTTCCTTTGCAATTTGCTACTAGTATCATTAAGCCTTAGTGACTTGCGCTGGGGTGTTTACTGTACAGTTGCTTTCCTTGTTAGGCCACACCGATTTAATATGTTGTTTCTCGGATTTTTTTCTGATTCTGAATCAACTAAAAAATGCTCATATTTTGCCCCCAACAGTTGAGGAAAGACCTTTTCTTCTTTTCATAGTGATATAGTTGTTCTGTGTTCTGAGGGCCAGCTAGCTAGCTATCAAAGTTCAAGACTTGTGATAACTATAAGACACCAAGTGATCATGATAGGATACAAGAGTATCAAGCTAGCTATACTGGTGAGGAAAATCTGAATACTTACCATTTTTACTTAACATTTCCTTGATGTTATTTGAGACAGTATGTAACTTATATATGTCTATATACTTCAGTGGCTGCTGATCATGACAACTCCTGTCTGAACCTGACAAGACCAGTTTAGACTAGACCTGGTGATTTGAAGGCTCAAGTAGAATATCAGGTGAGAAAGCTCTGAATTCTGAATTATATCTACTATTTCTTTGGTGTTATATGGGACAGGCATGTAACTTCTGATATATAGTATGTATTTAGGTGGCTGCTGACTGATGCAAAGTGATGTCTTATCTGTACATGTAAATGGCTGAACCTGACAAGACCAGAGATGATTTGATGAAGACTCGAGAGAAATACAAGGTGAGAAAAACTGATTTTATTTTCCTTCTCCAATTCGATGGCAGTATTTGAAACAAGTTTGTAACTTCTAATGTTATATAGTTAGGTGGTTGCTGACTGATGCAGTAGTGATGAGCACAGTCTATTGCTGACAAGACCAGGTGATCTGAAGACCCAAGAGCAAGATATCAGCATCAAAAGGTGAGATAATACTTTACAAGGCACACATGTATATAATAAAACACATACATGTACATGTACATTTTTGTACATGACATGACACTCTGCAGTATCAAGTTCCCTTCTTATACATTGTAGGTTTTGCACTAGATGGATTAGTAATACATAAGGCTAGAGGCTTTATCTATTATACATACTCGTCTGGTAATTTTGATCATGATTGCTTACGTCTCGTATCAGTTATGTCTTGTGTGAATAAGATCACGTGTCTGTAACCGTAACTCTCGCGAGACTACGTTTTGAAGTGATTGGTCATTAATTATCCTGAAGAAGGCAACAGTGGTTGCTGAAAATTTGATCTCTGTGTAACTTTGTGTTGGAATAGTTCAATGTTCTTATAGCTATACATACTCAGTCTGGTATATATGCTTTGTAATCATCACCATTTCTAGAAAGAGACAAAGTAACAGGTCATATGTTAACCTTCAAAGTTGTTGCCTTACGATCCTTACACTCATTGTTCTTTTATTTTGTTAGGTATCCTGGCATTCCTGCCCTGACGGGGAGAAACCTGTGATGACGGGTGACTTCTGCCCAAACCAGATGAGGGCTCATGATCAGCAAATCATAAAAATGACCTAACATGTGAGGTAAATTTACAAAATAAATGCTTCTTTTCCCTGTGTTTCCATGAACCCTGGAGAGTCCTTTGTGGTCATTTAGCAATACTGTTGGATAGAAGTCTTTGCAGCAAACTAATAATTCTTTCTTGTTCATGTTCACTCTTTTAGGTGCATCCTGAGGGTCAGCTGTCCTGACTGGTGATGAGGGATGTCTTCTGTCCAAACCAGACCTGATGAGGGCAGCTCAGCAAGCCAGTTAACTTGAAGACACAGAGTGAAGGGAAGAGTTCAATGTAAAAAAACTATATACATGCAGGTGAGAATATGCTCCTGAACTCACATGTTAGTTGCGTGTTACTCTAATGACCCTAACATGTTTCTAAATCTTGAAGCCAAGGGATATTTTGTCATATTTCAGTGTGGCCAATAGAGATGTTTTTACATCATTCTAATTATCATTTCATAGTTAGGTGTGTCCTGATGTTCCTGTCCTGACTGGGAGAAACCTGTGATGATGAGGAGACGGCAAACCAGTTGACTTGAAGACACTGAGTGAAGAGTTTGTACAGGTGAGATAATGCTTTTAGTGAGGTTCTTTATTGACACAACAAAAAAGTACAGAGACTTTTGTATGGTCTTCTACAACTTAACTAAAGATCTAACAAAGCTACATACATGTGTGGATAACGTTATCTTACGTACAGAGTATATGTATGATGTAACAATAAAGGTTAACTATTCTCTAACATGTGGTCTCTAAGATCGAAACATTCTTTAATGTATTTTCCTATTTGAACACTGTATTGGTTATCTCCCCTGAGAATGTAGTTGAATTTATCTATAGCATCTAACGTATTGAAATCAATTGAACAAGCGGAAAGAAAGGTGAACAGCAATAGGCGCTTACCATTGTATAGTGTACAATCCATTATAAAATGGTGCTCATTTTCAATCATGTTTGGACAAAATGGACAGAACCGTTGGTCATTTGGTATTTTCTTGTATCGACCCATTTCTATGTTTAATTTATGACAACTAATTCTTAATTTTGTGATCGCTTTTCGGATATGTAGATTTTAGTTACGACTTATTTTATACACATAGTATTTATACTTTTTTAAATCTCTTTTCTTTCTAGTTAAGAAGATTGTGGCATGACGTGCTACTGAGTAACACCTTAAAAAAAACCTAAGCATTTTTGTTTATAATACTTTTAAATTACTGCCTTGTTTTTTGAACATCACACTTATTATTCTTTACATTAGGTGTGTTCCTGTCATGACTGGGAGAAACCTGTGATGACAGGTGACTTCTGTCCAGACAAGATGAGACAAACCAGTTGACTTGAAGACACCTGTGAAATGAAGAGTTTGTACAGGTGAGACAGGACATATATTACTACATGCTGTGTGTTACTCTGATATGTTCTAGAGCCTACCACATTCCTGCGTCCATCCAAGCAAAGGAATATTTTTTTCAATAATCTTTTATGGTCCTTCAGTGTTGTTTGTAGAATACTTTTGCATCACTAACAATAATAATTATTTTTTATATTTAGGTGTGTCCTGATGTTCCTGTCTTGACTGGGAGAAACCTGTGATGATGAGAAACTCCTGTCCAGACAAGATGAGACAAACCAGTTGACTTGAAGACACCTGTGAAATGAAGAGTTTGTACAGGTGAGACATTGCTCTCAGATATTACTTAATGATGTGTGTTACTCTGATATGTACTAGAGCCTAACACATGCATCTATCCAAGCAAAGGAATATTTTTTTAATAATATTTTATGGTCCTTCAGTGTTGTTTGTAGAATAATTTCACATCACTAACAATAATAATGATTGTTTCATATTTAGGTGTGTCCTGATGTTCCTGTCTTGACTGGGAGAAACCTGTGATGATGAGAAACTCCTGTCCAGACAAGATGAGACAAACCAGTTGACTTGAAGACACCTGAGGGGAACCAAACATTTTCTACAAGTAAGTTTGTCACTTCTTTATTTGAAAGGTAAATCCAAAGTACCATGGCATAAGAAAGGAAGAATAGTTTTGTCTGTAGACAGTGAACACGCAGGTGCATTCCTTATTTCTAAAGTTTGCAAGTTGTATTGTTTTCGATTTGAAAATTTCTGTAGGAGCCGTATATTTTTCAGTTTTGATTGGAGAAAATGGACGTATGATGGGTGTATTCTTATTTCCACCTGTTAAAGTTTTCTATGGTTAGATTTTAAAGTTCATTTGAATGTGGAATAGCTTATTATTTTTTTCTCTGGACAAGGTTGATGCAGTGGTTTATCTTTCATGATGTATTTTATACTTCATGTCCTGACCAAAGTGGTCAATCCATTATATTTTGATCAAACTGCTTTTGTCACTCATACTTAACTTAGATAGCTCTTTTGGAATCTTTGTACATGTATGTTGCCTTTTGTATATCTTTTGGATTTTAATCTTGGGATCACAAAAGTTGAAAGATTTTATCAACTTTCTTGTCATAAACTTGTAACTGTAAGTTGTGACATAATTTTCAGTGCATTAGGCCAATCACTGTTTTCAATACACTGACTTTGTTTCTCTGTCTTCAAGATGTGGACCCGGAGACTGGACTGAGCGGGAGGAAGAATTAGACGTTTATCAGCCAAGCTATGTGAAAGAAGACGGGGAGGTGTGAGTATGTTTTCTTTGTTAACACGAGACAACACTCCACATGCCTTCATGTGCACACACATGCACGCACATTTCTCTCTTCTTTCTTTTCTCTTTTGCCCAGTTCTCTACTCTGAGGGTCTGCATGCCACTTTTCCGTGAGGAGCCATTAAACATTTATCATAGCCAAATTTGACAAAAAACATTCTGAAAAATTCTTCGTATTGCGTAGTTGAAGAGACCAAATTTCCCCCAAATTTTTCCACCAAAAAACTATTTTTGCCAGCCGCCTTGCCTTTAATTCCAAGTGTCTGAAAAATTCTTTGTATTGTGTACGGTCTAACCAAATCTAAATCTAACCAAAATTGTCACTGTGGACCTTAGACTTGAATTCTCTGACCACGTAGTTGATTGAAATTTTCCCGCCAACCGCTTTAATTCCCTGTCCCCTTGGCCCAAAATTCTTGCATGGAGCTTCACGTGTACACTTAGAATCTCCAAACACGTTTTTCTGCAAAAAAACTTGCTTGCCTGCCTGCCACTTAAATTCCAAGTATCTTAGCCAGCCCCTGTAATTCTTTGTATTGTGTAGTGGAATGTGCCAAATTGCCCCAAATTGTAGCTTGGACCTACAAACTTAAAATCTCCAAACATGTTTTTCCGCCCAAAAACTTGCCTGTCGCTTTAATGCTTTGTATTGTTTAGTTGAATGTACCAAATTGCCCCAAAATTGTAGCTTGGACCTTCACACTTAAAATCACCAAAAAAACTTGCCTAATGCTTTGATTCCAAGTATCTTAGCTGGCCCCATTAATTCTTTGTATTGACTGTAGTTGAATGTACCAAATTGCCCCCAACTTGTAGCTTCCAGGACCTTCACACTTAAAATCTCCAAACACGTTTTTCTGCAAACTTTGATTCCAAGTAACTTAGCCGGCCCCTTTAGTTCTTTGTATTGTTCAGTTGAATGTACCAAATTGCCCAAAAATTGTAGCTTGGACCTTCACACTTTCCAAACACGTTTTCCCGGAAAAAACTTAGCCTGTCGCTTTGATTCCAAGTATCTTAGCCGGCCCCTTTAGTTCTTTGTATTGACTGTAGTGGAATGTACCAAATTGCCCCAAAATTGTAGCTTCCAGGACCTTCACACTTAAAAATCGGCCCAAACACGTTTTTCCGTCCAAACTTGCCTGCCGCTAAAATTCTTTGCAATGTACCAAATTTCACCCTGATTCCTTTTTAAGTTAAATTTTTCCCGCCAAAAAAAAAAAGACTAATTGGGACCCTCACCTGTTTAATTAATTGGATTAATTTTTCCCGCCAAAAAACTTAATATATACACCTCTCTAACCTTGAACTTGTGCCCCCCTCCCCACTCTTCCTGCCCACCTCTCCACACCTATCTTCTCCCACAGTAGTTACACTGTTCCAACACTTCAGACTTCTTTGGACATGTCACTTCTCCAAACATGTAGTCACCACACTCTGCTACCCAAACACTTACTTGATCGAGTGTAGTTTTTCAGTCACATTAGACTTTAGAATGATCTCTCGCTCTCCTGCCGAGTCAATTGCACTGGTATACTGATGTTTCGAAGCATCAATGTCTCCCGAAAAGACATCCCACGGGGAGTACACTTTGTGCATTGACCGACCAGGAGAGCGAGAGATCATTCTAAAGTCTAATGTGACTGAAAAACTACACTCGACCAAGTAAGTGTTTGGGTAGCAGAGTGTGGTGACTACATGTTTGGAGAAGTGACATGTCCAAAGAAGTCTGAAGTGTTGGAACAGTGTAACTACTGTGGGAGAAGATAGGTGTGGAGAGGTGGGCAGGAAGAGTGGGGAGGGGGGCACAAGTTCAAGGTTAGAGTGGTGTATATACTAAGTTTTTTGGCGGGAAAAATTAATCCAATTAATTAAACAGGTGAGGGTCCCAATTAGCTTTTTTTTTTTGGCGGGAAAACTTACACGAAAGAGAATCGGCAAAACTAAACCAGAATGTTTGGGGCAGAAATTTCACTCGATTATCCAACGCAAAAATTTGTGGGCGATTTGGCATTCAACAAGACAAATTTTGTGAGGGCAATTTTTTTGGCTGGAAAAATTAATGTTTGGGGAGGTTTGACTGTTTAAGTGTACGGGTGCAAAGTGTTAGTTGGAAAAGTATGAGTGAACCCACATACAGAAAGAGAGGAATTGTGTTGAATTGCATGACAAACCTTGTTATCTCTGTTAACAAATACATGTAGCAATTCAACTCTCCTGTTCCAAAATCCAGGCCTAGTCTCAAGCTCATCAAATAAAGTCTGTCAGCGTTACATTACTGTCAAACTCTACGAGATAATCAACATGAGACAAGCCCTGCATTTTGCAACAGGAGGTTAGAACTGCTAGCCTCACCATCCTATTTGTATGCCATTATACTCCCCAAGAAATATTATAAAATGTATGGGAGCCCTGGCATACAAATAGGATGGTACCCAGGCTAGCAGTTCTAACCTCCTGTTGCAAAATGCAGGGCTCGTCTCGTGTTGATTATCTCGTAAGAGTTTGACAGTAATGTAACGCTGACAGACTTTATTTGATGAGCTTGAGACTAGGCCTGGATTTTGGAACGGGAGAGTTGAATTGCTACATGTGTTTGTTAACAGTGATAACAAAGTTATCTACATGACTTTAAAAGGAATCAGCAAAACAAAACTACACCCATTATTTCCTGTCATTGTTTAACTTCTAAACTTCTTTGAAGATAAACTACTTAACTTCCACAACTTGAATGCAGGCTACATTTTAACAGAGAAGCTTTTACAATAATGTGTTAACCTCTCGCTGCAACAGTCTGTCTACAGTTATAATGTTTGTTACACTACCTAAAATTTCCACAACTAGCTACATTTCACTGCAACTGTTTTCCATACTTTCAGTTGTACTACCTAAGAAATGACTCCAGTTGAATTTTAAGCCATTTTAAGAGTGAAATCCTCTTAACTAAAAGGCTTGTTCTCATTCAAATGTGACAAATGCTGTCACAACTCTAAGACTAGATATGAGCTAAATCATGAATCTATCATATCATTATTTTCTTCAATTTTCTACCGGTACTTTGCTTACAGTATGTTTCACGAAACAATACTGGGTTTGGTTGATGACTTGGAAGAAATTATAGCTGCATGTTTTGAGAGTTCTGTAACCTCTGTTACTGCTGAAGTAAGTTTAGATGGAGCCGCATATATAAATTATTTTGACAACATTTTTGCAAGTTTTCTGGGTTTCTAAGGAAAGAAAAAATGAGTGTTTGTTGTCATTTTATAGCCACCCTTGCTGAACAAAATGTTTTGGAGTCATGACTTTGTAAACTTGTGTTTACTAAGCGTTGCTCAGTTTTTAAATGTCTGTACTTATGCTCCCTTGCTCCTAAAAGATGAACTTCAAGGTAAAAAACTGTACATCTTTTTGGAAAAAAAAAAGCTAAAGTGAGATGTTAATTCAAATGTTTCAGAATGTAATATTTTGCAGAGACCATAAAGTGTAGGGGAAGGAGATCCACCTCACTATCATGGCCGTACCTGCTGGACACTGGACTTTCATCAACCCTCACTGGAACTCCAGATCTGTCTACAGTTTTGTTTATTGTTTAACTATCTAAACTATTTAATAATAGATGATATACTACATTTAAAGTAAAGCCAACTTAACTATTTAATCCTTGCGAAATAAATAGAATGCAATTTTATCTTGCTGATTCCTTATTACTCAATTCCTCCCTTTCAAACATCACACACAGCTTACCTGTAGTACATTCACTCTACAGAAAGAAAGCACAACATTGCCTTTTTACATTTTCTGTAAAGAAATAGGACACATTTTCAGAAATCATTATGTGATCAAAGTATTTTCCCTGAAATCCACTTCATCATGGACAAAATTGTATTTGAACGATATTAAATATAACATGCAGTAATTTCATACTGCAGTTGTTTTGAAATAAAACATTATGGAATGCCTAGTACATGTATGAATACCTTGTGTTTTTTTTTGTAAATTATGTTAACACGAATAATCTTGATTGTGTTTCAACTATCCTTTGCAGAACAATAGAAAACGTATAGAATTTCGGGTAAATCAGGGTCAGACTTTAGGTTCGTATGCTTTTTGCAAAGTCAAAATTGCGAGCATATCTTCATCTTCATCTTTCCCGGGGCTCTGAGATGTTATGATTATTCAAGATTGCCAAATTATGTCAAATTACCAAATTACACATTGTTGGTATCTTAAACTTTTACAGATTGAGAACTTAAAATGTTACTGTTT